ACATTCTATTGAAGCGAAGTTTTTGACAGATCGTCATTTTGACAGCACCACTGTTTATATGCTCGGTGAAACCAAAACGATTTTATTTTGTATAACATTAAACTACGTCTTAACGGAGTAAAAGAAAGCTTGCTCAAGCGGGGCGTGGTATCCTTGATGATGTTAGTTTGCCACCATTATCTTGTGTTAACCCACGATAGATTGTGACACTGTTTGCTTCTAAATCTGGCTAGACAGTGTGATACCGAGTGCAGTTACGCATTGCCATTTTCTCAATGCTGGATTTGTATTACACTTGAAGCGGTATTCTGAAACATGCGTAAAAACTGAGAAGACACTTAGTTTCATGGCTGCAGCAACATTTCTTACAGGAAGTCACTAACAGAATTTTTTACGTGACGCAGTGCTTCAATCGCTTGACTTTTTCTGGCTTTTTGCTTGGTTCAGACCCTTCAAAAAAAAAAAAAAAAACTCTCGTCAGGCGAAATAATTTGACCGCCGCTTTGTTCAGCTTTTTGCAATGTTCAATGCAGCCAATTTCTGAAAACTCCTTTGAGATCATGGAAGACTGGCTACTAAATTCGAATGCAGGCTCATGCACTGTGCTAAACACATGTGTCAACTTGGCTTCCATAGCCTCTGCCAGGTTTTACAGATACTCTGACGGACACAGAAGTCCCCTTAAATCCCGATCCCAACACCTGCCTTGGCAGCTTGTTGAGTTATTTGGGCAATCCTCCAACGTGCTATAGGGCTATCGGGACACTTCTCTGCTGGTACGTAGTCCGATGAAGTAGCATTTTGTCTTTTTCGTTCTCTAGGCAAACTCTCCGATATATAATGGAGCAGGTTTGGGAATAAGGGGCGTACCACATCATCTCTTAAACTAGTCTTGTCACGCTGAATTATTCCTGTCTTTCCACAATATGCACGAATTCTCGCACGCTGAATCTAACAACCAAGGGAGAATACATGGTTTTGAGGTAAATAAATATATTTATCGAAAAGCAATGGCCGAAGTTTCAAGAGCACCACAAATCGTTTAGTATCTCCACTTGCCGATGCCTTCCACACATGCGCACAAGTATTTTCTACCCTTAAATAAATTCAAAACATTTACTATGCATCAAAATGTTTTTCGCATACGGCGGAATTTTCCTGGAGTGCTTTGTCCACCCTTACGATAGTGCACTCCCATTTTGCTAACCTGTCTTTGCACGCCAAAGCGCACAAAAAAGGGGGAAATTCTGAGCGCACGATCTGCATCCCGTGTGACCAGCAGCCTCCCCCGGCATACACACCATCTGCAGCCGTCTCCGCCGCGCTAGTAGTCGCGCTAGCAACAGCGCCTCCGATCGCCGCGCTAAATCACGACCTAGGGAACATCTCGCGCACCACAGCACCGCTCGGCCCGCGTGACATTAGGACTTCTAGTGTAACGTGAGATAGGGTGAACCCCACGCCCTGCGCGGCCGGAGGGAATCCCGCATGCTGGAACCCAATAAAGTTTATTCTCTCTCTCTCGGCAAGGGAAACACGGCTCGCTTTTAACACCTCCCTTAGGCTCTGCGCCGTGTCGCTTGTAGGCAGACAAAAGATAGGTGCCTTCTTCCTTTTCCTCACGAAGCACTAACAACAACAACAACCACCTCCCCATTCTAGCCACCCTACCACGGCATCTTTCTGCTCCCTTTTTCGCAACTGCAGGTTTTGCATGGCAGTCGTGCTTGCTTGGGGTCCCTGCATGTGCGCGGTACTGCGGAGTGGCTGGCGACCATGCTGGCGGTGCACACGCTGTAAGGCTTGCTGAGACGATAGTTACAGCGCGAGAATAAAACGACGACACAGAGACAGGAAGGACACGGTTCTCGCGCTATAACTATCGTCATGTCATACCAACTAGCCCAAGCTGCCACGCTTGCTCAGAAATGCAGGAACCACAGCGTACGTATGTGCTCTAACTAATCGCCATGTGCTTCTGCAGAGCCTCCGCGGTTTGCGGTCACTTTGACGAACGAGCCGCTTGGAAGGCCGCCTTTCTTCTCGCCATTCCAGTGCTCATTGTACGTCCACTGTCTAGGAGAAAATGCACGACCACCCTTCTGGAGACACCATTTGCCTGCGCGAGCCCCGAAGAAAACAGAAAACACGTGTTTCAAAGCGCCTTCTGATCTTTAGAACTTTGAGTGGGCATTGTCCCGACGTTTCGGAATGCATACGGTCCCTCTTTAGAGGGGAGGCACGAACCACCCATCCCCATCCTGGGCTGCGGGCACGGTTCCTACACCGTGGCTGCGGGCAACGCATTCGAAAGTGTGAGAATTCGGCGAGACTTTTTTTGCTTTTTTTCAGTAGCTGAGTACGTAAGCAGTTCTTCGAACTTATGGTTTCACTTTGAAAACGCGTGCGCAGCGTCGTTTCTGGTTTAGAACTGGCCCTAGTTCCGGGGTGCGAGTGTGTGTGGCCGCAGCGAAAGTGGATGGACCACTCGCGTTCTTAGTATTACCCGACTCGGCCTTCCAGGAATGGCACGTCTCCCGAGTTCGCGTCAAACGGGCGATGGTTTCACTGGCGCCTCGGACAACGGAGAGTGATATGTTTCTGTCGTGTGTGTGTGTGGGGGGGGGGGGGGGGGGATACTGTTGCTGCATTTTTAAGATTGCATCGTTGTGTTTTTGGTTTGAATAAATAATCTTGGCTAACCGTTTTTGGCGCGATTGCTTAATATATTGTGTTTTTTCTCTCTTTTTTTTTATTGTTCTGCACTGGATTGCGGCTCTTCGCATCGCTGTCTTTACTACTGATGAATCACAGATTTTTGGGTGGTCTGAAGTGAACGGAGTATATCAGTTAGGGTAGGTGTGTTTGCAGTATTATTTTCAGGTTGCGAGAATATTCAAAAGCGACAATGAGCCTCTGTTTCACAAGGAATCAAATACTTGTTCAATAAATTTAGATGAGAGAATAAATGCGACTTAATATCTCATGAAACGGCTGTCATTCAGATCGATCTGGTCCTTGAGAAGATACGGCTACGGTCGGAATGGAGTAAAAGCATGTTCCTTGGCGTGTTTATTTGTTGTATTTGGTGCGCCGACATGCAGATACGGGCTCAGAGTTCCTGAGAAAGTTTATATATTTAACAAACTTAATGCATTGTGATGAGGCAAGAAAAAGAAGAGTCGCACATGGTATCTGGAAAAGCAAGGGTGCCTAAAATATTTATTTTTTTTGTTTCAGAGGATTGACAGTTAACTTGATTTCATCCTGCCAATTTGAATTATACACCGTTTGCACGTCAAGTGACGCTATCTGGAAATACTTTAATTCTAAAGAGCATTGTAATGGCGACACGCGTTCGCCTTCGTTCTTACTTCGTATTTTGAGGAGCTCATTTATCATGCAAAAAGAATGCTTTTCGGGAAGGAGTGTGCTTATTGTTAACTATTTAAAGAAGAACAAGCTATATGACGGACACAATTCATGTTAACTATAATGTAAAGTATTTGGAAAAAAGTAACGAAACTGCCGCCGGCATCGAAACTGGAAATGGGCACCACGTGTTTCACTACTATAGCGAGTAAGGCAATTGAATGAACTTACCTGTTAGTTCTATAATATTAGCTTCATGACTTTTTTTATTTGAAGAAAGTTGCACATTTAAAGCAACTTGAGCACAACGTTATTACTTTGCAGCTTCGTCACATCACACATTTAGGGCCAATAAATCAAGCCTTGTGAGACCAATAGTTTAGCGGTATCTAAGCACTTGAGATCTTAATCTCTAATTGCATTAGGAGCGTCTAAGTGAACCAGGTATTTGCACGAATGCAAGCCAGTGCAGTAGATTTTCCCGTGTGAACCGGATAATGTTATAAACGGTGAACAATACTGCAAACTCTCGTTCTGAACATACATGTATGAAAGTGAAAGAAGACAACCACCTGTTTGTAGCACGAAGTCACAAGGAAATTCATAAAGATTGCTGAGAAAGAAAGCTTCTTTGTTGCCGAAAAATACGTCCTGGTACGTGGTTCTACCCAGGACCAACCCCTATCTGGGGCAGTCGCTCTGCCAATTGAGCTAACTAGGAATCTAGCGTTTGACAGCGCGAGGGTGTACTCATCGACAACTCGAAGCACATGGACACAAGTGTTACAAATGTATGTTGCAAAAGTTGCTCATTTGCAACATACATGTAAGTAGCATTGCATACACAGCTGGTTGAGCTGCTGGATGTAATACATTTTGAAGTGACAGGCACCATGCACCGAAGCCAAGTCACGCAGGGCACATTCATTGTACACAGCCCCTCTTCCACCAAGAATAAAATGAAAGCGGTCAGACTGACGACTCGTGAAAGCACTTTTTTTTACAAAGCTGCTTCACTGGAAGTGAATGCAGCTCGAGCCACACAGCATGCGGTTTCTGATCTTTCAGTGAAAAAGTAGATATGTGTATATGACATATTTATAAAAATAAATCAGGCAATTGTGCCCTCAAGCCACTTCATGGATCGAAACGACAACTTGAAAACAAGGCTGCACTTACAAGTGGAGGGGGGGGGGTCGACCTCTGGTAGGGAGAATTAAAACCCCTGATTCCGGCCCCTTTCGGTGCACCACTGACGTAGGTGACTCGGTGGGCAACAAGGACATTGAGCCATATGAAAGGGGGGGGGGTTAAGTCAGCCTCGGGGGGGGGGTTACAACCCCCTAAACCTGCCCCCCGTTGGTGCGCCAATGGTATGCGTGTATGTGCATGTGTATTCGCACACGCATACATACACAACCAAGCAAATTATGCCACAAGAATACATACCCCATTTCCTTCGGCTATGTTACATGATCTTGCTTCTCAAGATGTGAAGTGAGCACTGCCAGAGTTCGTCGGGTATAGTAAATATTCACTGCATCACTACCGTAACTCGCCGTTACAAGCCGTTACCGCGCGCCACAAGCATGACTTATGTGAGAGATTGATCACCTGGGTCTTCTTACCTGCCTGAACATGGAGTATGGACGGGTCGAGAAGGAAGTCGTAGTACTTGATCTCGCTGTACCAGTACCTGGCGACTTGCTCACCTAGATTTAAAAAAAAAGGCGGCAGTACAAATACATTGCATCGCAAAAAGACAGTCATTACATTAAAATATGGTAGCCTATGAATATCAAGAACCTCACGAATCACAAACGCGTGTAAGACCACATCATTAGACCTACACTCTTAGAAAAAAGGTAGTAGTACTTGCTAAGTTTTGGGTAGAAACGGTTTGTCACATATGTTACAACCCTGGTAGTAAGCGCAGTTAGTAACGGCGAGGGTGGTAGCAGTTGCCACTTTTGCTGTTACTACCAGCAATTAATAACTGTTACTACACTCGCCATTACCACCTATGGGTAGTAACTTTTAAAGGTTTCAAGAAAAAAAGTAGCAACTGATACTACACTGTTCATTTATCTTGGCATAGTTTCAGGAGCGAAGCTTCTTATAGCGGCACTCGTTCATCCCTCGTAGCTGTAGTAGTAGTGTGTAACAAGTATTAAATTTTGACCTCCAAGCTGGTGCCGGTGAGAAATTTCTTCTGTGCGTTGTTGAACAATAAAAAATAGTGCTCAATGTACATGCGAATGGCTGCCAAGGGAGAATGAGAGACAGGAGAATTCGGCTTTTAGTTAACGCGCACGCTGCGAATTTTTTATTGTTCAACAACACACAGAAGACAAGAAAGGGTTGCTACGTTATACTCACTGGGCGTAACCTCCTAGGTTTTAGAAAGGCTTAGCAAGCGTTGGGCAGCAGTGCCATGAATACAGTGAACTAGTATAAACCATGAACTCGAGGTGGCTAAAGGTGGGAAGTAGACACGAAGCGCAAGCCATAAGAAAGTGTGCGTGTGCCTCCTCTTGTTCAGTCCTTGGAATGTCCACTGGATGGCGGTGCTTCGATATGAGGAATATATGATGAAAAGATGCAAGATGGTGGTACTTGGAGTGTTGAATAGATGGACGAACGGACACACAGACAGATGCATGGATGGACGCACGGATGTCTGCACGGACGGACGGACGCAGGAGCGGATGCATGGACGAAAGCAGGGACGGACGCACATATGAACGTGTGGAGGCACGAACAGACGCACGCACGGACGGGCGGATGGACGCACGGGCGGCCACGCAGACACACGCATGGATGGACGGAAGCAAGAACGAATGGACGGACGGATGCTTCACCCCACTATCCATCATTCACTCCCTGAATTTGCTGCCGTTTTTTTCTTCATTGCTAATGTTGGTCAACCAATGTCTCATTACTACACAGCTTCGGCAATCTTGCCTGGGTGTGCAATTAACGCGAAGAATACAGAGACCCATGAAGTTCACTATCTTTTTACGCTACAGTTACAGTACAAAGTACACGTGGCGTATATATAGCCCCTACTTTGCAGATGCATGTCTGGCACAGGAAAGCACTTTTCTTCCTGGATGAATTACAGCAAACATGAATCTGGAACACTATAATATACCACCTGACTGTAGTGCGTTTGGGGACGTAGCACAAG